CTTTAAAAAATAAATAAAGACAAAAAAAATAAAAACAAATCCGGGCAAATAAAGACAAATAAAGACAACTTTAGACAAATAAAGACAAATTTTGCCAACGACATACAAACAATAAGGTTTTGGGCCTTTACTTGTAAACCCTCCATAATTTAAACCCCCTCAATGTAGACCGCCGCAACCGGTCAAGGATTAAACCCCATAATCCCGAAATCCTAAACCCTAAATACTAATCCCTCCTATAAAACCCTAAACACAGGCTTCGGGCAGCTGCCGGAGATGGTACGACAGGAGCTCCTGTGGCGTTTCGTGGCCACCGGTTGCGGGAGCCCTAGTAGTTCTCGCTTTGAAGGGTTGAGGGCTTGGGGAGATTAGGGTTTAGGGGTTGGGGTTAAGGGTTTAGGGTTTAGGGTTTAGGGTTTAGGGGTTGGGGTTAAGGGTTTAGGGGGATCTAGGGCTTAATTAGGGGGATGTCGGGTTTAGGTGTAGCATGAGTTAGGGTCTAGGAGTATACATGCCTTCATAAGACTCTTTATGGGACTATAAGTCCACTCATAAGACCGCTTGATATATTGGATACCTTGTCTTTATACTGTTATACCTTTCTACAAGAGCAGAATCTGAGGCGGCAGCATGCTGAGCTACCCGGCCGTACGCGCCATAGCCGGCGGCCTTGCCTCAAAAAACTCCTCGGAGCCCTTCACCTGGCCGTTGGGGTCAGGTTGGCAGCTTCGGAAGATGGCAAAACCGGAACTTGTTCTAAGCCACAAGGAGGAGAGCGAGGAGGAAGCTTGGACCGTCGAGGACCTTCGGGTTCTTCACAACTTCGCACCCGGCCTCTCACTTCGAGTCGCGCGTGGTGGGACACTCGAAAGCCACAATGAGGCGGGCGACAGCTCCTGCCGTTTCCTCCTCGACGTGCCCCTGAACGCCACGGTGGCGCTCCGTGGGGCCCAGCCCGGTGACCGCTTCTGCCCCGGCTTGAGCAGCCGGGCACGCGCCATCAAGCTTACCTACTTCCTGCACCGGGAGATGAAGGTCCCCAGGGAGGCGAGATATGGATGGCCGGTGATCGCAATCCAAGCTCCGAGACAGCCGGAAGTGGTTGCAGCTGTTCTGCCCTCCTTTGCCGCCGCCGACTTCGCTGCGACGAACTCCAGTCACTCGCCCGTCCTTGTGGAGGTGGCCTGGACTGAACCTTGGCCCGGACTGGCGGAAAAGTCTCAGCTCGAACCCTCTGCCGGCGACCGTAAACCCAACACCCTAATATAGGGGCCTCAAAAAATATTATTTTGGGGGGTTCCTTATTATCAATGTAGTATAATGGGCCCCAAAACCCTATTCTAATTATTAAGGCCCCTATATTAGCCTGACAAGCTCTGGCTCTGTGTCAGGGTGGAGAGCAATTGGCTTTCGCCGAGAAGTTGAAGGAGAGAGCTGTGTTTGCTCGGGACTATTTGCTTGCAGAACTAAGGCTTCAGGGTGAGGATTCACGGAGCTTGGGGCTTATAATGTTCAGGGATCAGAATTGTGCGGGCCTGTATGATTTTGGAGCAGGCGTGGTTTTAGGAACTGTGGCACAGCTTAAGGTATTAGTTTGCTGCTGACATAAGTGACTCAAGCTAAACCCGAGTTTTGTTGATGGCGCATCTTAGGGTCTTCCGGCTTCCGGTAATTGGTGATTTCCGCGCAAATCCTTTTCCGTCATGTGCTTGCAGCGAAATCCGATTAAATTTGACCCCCCCTCCACTTGTCGAAGGCTGGCGAGAGCCACAGCCATGAAGAGCAGCCATACAGAAGCCCGTAAACACTTAGGATAGTATCCCTGAGGGTGTCTTGTTTGAATTCTATATACTTTGCTATACCCTCAAAACGGTATTCCAATGCTTAGGGGCTCGTATAGGAACCTTGGGACAGCTTGAATTTATTTGTAGGCGCGATCCGGAGAACCGGGAGTATGCCCTACTAAAGAAACCCTACACGCAAAGCCTTCAGCCTTTCAATTCGAATGTACTCCAAAGACATGGAGTCCCAAACCCTGTACCCTACAGTAACATTGAACGCCTTGGTTAGAAAAGCCTCTAGATGCGAGCAGAGGAGACTTTTAAGCCCTGAGGCAGTAAGCTTGTGCACGGTTGAGGGTTAAGGGATAGGGGTTATGTTTAGGGGTTGGGGTTCGTCGTAAACTCCGAAGACCTGAGATGAAACAGTAGCAGTGATTGGCATCGTTACCGAGTGCCGCGACTCGATCCAAGCCTAAGTCCCCACACCCAGGCAACTGCAACAAACTAAGCGCACTACAACGCTTCAAGATCTCTGCCAGGGAGCAGACTGAAGCGGTTACCGGCAAACTTGCCACTGTATCCTCGCGACCCTTCACCTCGTTATGATCACATAATCAGCTGACACCCTAAGCCCTAAACCCTAAACCCTATGCCCCCCTGGACAAGCACACCCCAATGCAACCTGATAGTGCCTACACAATCAGGTCAGCCGTCTTACAGAGTGCCGCGAACACGCTCAAGAGCACCAACACACTATATAGCCCGCCCTGGCACCCTCACAAATACTAAAGCCCTAGAAGAACCTTAAGCTCTCGATCCTAACGCAACGGAAGCAACGGACGCGGGAATGCGAGGACCTGAGCCAGCAGATGGCAGACAAGTTCCAAGCACAACAGGAGGCAGCCGAGGCGGGTCGGTTCGGGGTCTCCAAAACCCCTTAATTAAGGAATATACCTTAAATCTTATTGAGGTTCCTATTATAATTTAAGGAATATTCCTTAATTAAGGGGTTTTGGAGTCTTTGGGTCGGGGTCTCTAGGATTCCAGGGTTTGGGTTTTTTCAGGGCATGTCCCGGGTGTTTCGGGTCAAGGGTTTTGGGGTCTAGGGTTCTGAAGTGATGATGCATGTTTCTTAAAGGGTCCAAGGTGTAGGTGGTTACTTTCTGGAGTTTGAGCGCGGAAGTGCCGAAACCCGGAAGCCTAAATCTTCGTGTGGGCTTCTATTTCCAGGGAGGATTTCAGGTTTAGGGTGTGCAGTGTTACAAGCAGGACTTAGAGTTTTGCGGTCAGGGCATGAACCTCAGAGTCTTTGGGTCAGAGCCGACAAACCTGAAACACAAGGTCCCAAGTCCTGAACGAAGCTACAGGCCCCAGGGGTTTAGAAGTTAGGATCTGGGGTCTAAAACCCAAAACCCCAAACCTCGACTGTACCAAGCTGTGGCTGCTCCCAGGTGCAGCAGGCCAAGCTAGAAGCCCAGCTTGAGAAAGATCAGAAGACAGCACAGGCGGCTAAGGGATTTCAGGAATTAGGGTTTAAGGATGTAGGGTGTATGCGGTGTGGGGTTTAGCGTTTGTGGGGTTCAGGGTTCAGAGATTTAGGATTCAGGTTTAGGGGATCGTCTCTCACAGAACCTCGTCAAACAAAGACCTTCCTTACGCTGATTTGGGGTAGCACTCGAGAGTTTAAACGAGAGCCCGCATGTTAAAAGCAAGAAGCTTTTCAAGCTTGAAGGAAGCATTCCTCAGTGGAGGCATATCCTTAAAACTCTTCCTGCGGATTTGGGGTTTGGGTACGCTGCCTTTGCTCCCTTATCCCAGCTGCTTATGTTTTTCGGGTTTTAGGGTTCAGTCTTGATGGTGTTTGCCCTAAACCCTAAACCCTAAACCCTAGAATCCTAGAACCCTAAACCCGATTTAGGGGTTAGGGTTTAGGATTCAGTCTTGAGGGTGTTTGCGTGCTTCGTGATGCTAGGGTTTCAGGGCCTTTTGGGCTTCAGGGGTTCGACGTCACAGGGTTCTAAACTCTTTGGCTCCTAGGGTTTAGGGTTGAAGGGTTTAGGGTTTTAGGGCTTAGGGTTTAGGGTTTTAGGGTTTAGGGTTTACCCATAGGCTCCTTAGTAGTTCCTTTTGGTGGTTGGCATTTAGGAAACCTATAAAGTAATCCCCAAAAGGAACTACTAAGAAGCCCATGGGTAGGGTGGGCTTTCGGTAGCTTTACGGTCGAAGGTTTCGGAAAGGAAGCGCTAGATATATCCCAGACGACTGTCATTGTCTGATGCACAATAAGGCAGGGATATCCCTGTAAAACGGTTTAAGGTTTAGGGTTTAGGGGATGATGCTTATGTCCTCTTGGGGCCCTAGTGGTGGTGAGAGCTTTGGCTTTTAACGATCATTGTGTGTGTCATTGTGTTTGGAAGTAGGTCGGGAGGATCGGGGCGAGGCTGAGCTGTTTTTGTTCAGCAGGAGATACACCTATTGTCTCACATGTAGTTCCGTTCGTGTGAGGGTGCGGGGGTGGCGAGAGGGTGGGGGGGGGGGGAGCGGGCACCCAGCTTGTATCATGAAGTTGAAGTTGGCGGATCTGAAGAGGAGCTACAGCGGAGACTGGAGGCGGCTGCGTCACAGCTGGGATATCAACAGGGTCTCGCGTTTCCGGCTTCCCGAGGCCCCAAAAGGCAGAATCGACTGAATCGATACAGAACCATACGTACAACCTGGAATCTGATCCCTAAACCCTGCCTTAGTCCTAAACCCCAAACCATGGAAGAGCAAATCCTGACTTTCTTGCGGTTTCGTGAGGCTCTGGATTGAAATGTCATGGTTGCCCCAAGCAAGCTTTAAGCCTGAAAATCCCTCGGCCAGGGGCCCCGAGTAGTTTTCATGGAAGTCTTAATTTACACTGATGCCTTTGCCGAATGTCCGGGCTCCACAGGGGTTTAGGCCGGCGCTCAAAGCACCGACGAGGTGCCGCGCAAGCATGAATCCCTGGTGAAAGAAATATTTTTAGGGTGTCTAGTTTGTAGGGTTTCTGAGCTTTCCAAGCCTTCTAGGGTTTCTAGGGCTTCTGGAGTCTAGGGTTTCTAGGGTTTGGGGTTTAGAGTGTTGGTCCTTCTTCTCTGACCTCCCAAGAGTCTTCAACCTTCTGTGCCGTGCAGGACAGCCAAGAGAAGCTGAAAGAGGCGATCGAGGAAGCCAGAAAAGCCGCAGAGGCTGTGGCTAATGTGGTTGTTTTCAACTTGTAGGGAACCCAAAACTCTAAACTCTAAAGCCTTATCGTTTATATGGAGTAGCATGGGCCTTTACGATCCTGAACGGGGCGCATGCTTTTGTACGGCACTTGAATGGTCTGCTTCAGAGACGGCAAGTCTCAGACAGGTTCTAAAACCTTGGCAGCACTTGGTAAAATTCGTAGTAGTCTGTACCCCAAACCCCCCACGACGCCGAAACCCTAAACCCCTAAACCCTTGACCCTGAAATATTTGGATCCAGTGTTCAATTTTCACCGTTTGGCGGGATACATCGGGTTCAACGAGTTGGGGTTTGGGACTTCACGATTAGGCCTTTGCAGAGTTGATGATTTCGATCTTTCCGGTGTAAGGCTTTGGGTTTGTTTCGGGTTTAGAAGTTTAGGGTTTATTTTTTCGTTGTATCAGGGGCTCTGTGGGACTTTTCAGTCAATCCCTAATCGAAGAAAACCTAAACCCTGAGCCCTAAACTCATAGAGCCCTTGAAGGTGCATGCACAGTAGCCTTTCAAGAAGTCTTATGGAAATACCCCAGGAAGTTGTCATGAAGCCCAGCCCCCCCCCAAAGGAAAAAAGCAAAAACAAAACCTCAAGCCCGCCCCCACCTTTGAATCCGAAGTTCACAGATCCTGGGTCTGTATACAAGGGATTGGTGTGGGGACTTGGGAGATGAAGGTTTCGAAGTGCCCTCCCTAAACCCTAAACCCT